GCGTACTTTTAATAGCATTTAGATGCCTTTAAATATAAAATCTCTATAAATATCTCTCCACAAGGTTCACATGTCTCCATCTTGAGATGAAGCTATACTAAGACCTACTTGCTGCATTATTGACATCTGTCCCATCGGTGACTTCACATTAAAATGACACAACGAGTCAAGCTCTTATGCTGGAGTCTGTGTTGCAGTGAAGGGAGTTTGGAGCTGTAAGCGTGAACTCGATTTGTGTCATATGAGCTCAGTTAGTAGTCTATCACGCTGGCAGCTGCAGGAACGCAAAGAGAAATTGAGGACAAGGGGGAAAGATACAAACAATCTTGACAGTCTGCTAGAACAGAGAGAAGAGAGGCACGTAATCATTCACAGAGCATAAAGGTAACTTGAAAATTGGGTGCCAAAATCAACTTATATGACCGCAGCGATGACATGCCCTCAATTTCTCTCTGCTTTAAGTGCAAGTACAAATGATTATTAATGCATTATTCACAAAACAGAGCCTTCTCCCCGAATTTTCTCCACTCAAGCGCGTCCTCTCCCTTTGATGATATAACCAAAGTGAGAGGGGAGGAAAGCGAGAGAGTGCATAAAATGGAGGAGTTCAGAGGATGGCTTTTCTCCTGGGATGACAGAGCTCTCACCCCAAAGGGGATCCTGCTCTCCTCTGAAAGAGTTTGAATCTTCCTGCAGACCAAACAGCAGCATTTACACATCAGTCAACAATCCACTTTGGCATGACTGCAACCAGACACATCAGTGCCAAGCATGGACCCGCTTACTCTGACTGGCTTTCCATCAAACAGGTACATGTAGGGTATCCCTTCACATGTCGCTTCCTTCTTTATCAATAATATAGTCATTTAAGATTTACATGAAGGCAGAAATGTGATTTTTTTTAAAGGCAATCTGAAAAACGACCGGGGAGAAGAACCTCAGAATTCAGCAGGGATTTCTTTGAACTCACGGATCCAGATATGGCAGCAGCAACAATTGGATGAACGCGCTGCAGCGAAGATGAAAGGCAGTCAAACTTGTAGACGTAATAAGTGGGCCGAGGCCTTTCATGATTCATACTGAGGCTTCATCCTACCGTTCAGTCAGGCTCTGATCCCAAATGTTGAATAGGCTTATATCTCTGGATTCTTTGTGGAGCGATAGAAAGCCAATTAACCGCCTCCTCACTGTTTTAAATGTGTGCACATGGGATTTCAGAAAGGAAATTGCCAAAGTTATGATGATGTTCTTTCACAACACATGCAGCTGCAATTAATTCAGATCACTCTTTAATCTTGTTTACATTGTATGCAAATAGAAAGTGTGTCTCGTTAATTTTGCCTCGATTTCATGCCCACCTGTCCTCTGATAACCTCTTTCCTGCCATTTTCGCTGCCTGACCTGCTCCTCCCACCAGCTTTACCGCTTCCCATTTCCTCGATTACCTCAGTCATAAATACCGGCCCACTTCCTAGTTCCTTGCCATGATTTTCTTTTTGTTTCATGCAAAGCTCTCCAGCATTCCCAAATTCACTTACTTCTCTTTTCCTGGCTCATCGTAGTTTGTTAATTTTTGATTCGTGGCCTTGGCCTTCTCTGGCTCTTTGTTTGCCTTACTGGTTTATGTCCTCTACTTGTGTTTACAAATTGAAGATTTTGGACTCATTAGGACTTCGTAACACACTGAAACTTTCTTCTATTAGCATGTCTTACAAAGCTTCGCTGCATGACTTGTGTTTGCTGTGTGATAGCACTACTAACTGTTTTTGATCCACATCTCCATTATTATTATGATTTTGCTTATTGGCACTCTGCATGACAAAACTGTTAACACTTTTTTCCATTATCTCCAAGAACTTCATTTTGATTGTGCTATTTTACTTATCCTTTGCTTATTTGCATGTGTCAAAAATGGCAATACTTGGTATTTAATGCGAAGTCACCGATGGTATCGTTTGGCTGAGTTTTGTCGCTTTGCATTGGATATTGAGCATGGGGCTGCTGTTGAACATTAGCCTTCTGTTTAACAATTTAGAGAAATGTTGAATACTATGCGTTGTCCTTTATGAATTAATGAAGGGACTCGTTAATTAAATGATTTGCTGATACAAGTTGTGTTTTCGTCTGTTCTGTGCCAGGCACTGTTGCATAAACTAACGCTTTGACATTTTGTTTAGTAGGCTTTTTTATTTTCATTCCAGGAGGAGGAGAAGATTGTTGTAAATCAAATATCCGAATCCCTCTGCGTAAAAAAGTTAAAATCTAATAATAGAAGGGAATTTATGTGGAAATATTCCTGTTTAACTAAACAAGATTCTGTTTTCCCCCATTTCTTTTTTCAGTTTGCAGGATTAAGAATATCACACTTATCATGGATCATATAGTTTTTTATTACATCTATTATTTCTCTCGTTTCTCTCCAAATCAGATCGGTCTAAAGTTGCACCATGGCCATGCTGCTGATTCGGCTCATGTTTCTCTGGAGTGTGCATATGCCTAGAGAGAGGGATGTCAGCAATAAATAGATTAAAGTGTGTAATGGCCCAATAACCACTCCCGCACTGCTCCACCATGCCCGGGTGATTCATTAAAAAAAAGAATGCAGCTGTTGAGTCTGACTCAAATTCAGATTTTTGGATTGAGCAAGAAACTTGAGGTAACTATGCCTGTGTGTTTGTATACAGAATATGCAAAAGAAGAACGAAAGACAACACGTATATGGAAATACGTCTTCAAGGGTAGGCATGAATGTAAGTACAACCCTTTGTGTGTGTGTGTGCCAAGGTGTGCATGTGTCTTAATAGGAAGCAGTCACAGGGCTGCTGACGGCTCCATAAAGGAGTCTTTGAATGGCTTTGCTCTGGTAAATTCATAGCAGATGTGAGAGGAAAGAATATCCACCCAGGTTGAGTGGCCCTTCACTGGGAAGGCGACAGGAGTCCAATCCAGGGTAGGCAGACAGGAGCCAGGACACACACACACACACACACACACACACACACACACACACACACACACACACACACACACACACACACACACACACACACACACACACACACACACACAACCCAATCAGCCAGGAGGGAACTCTGCACTGCACTTAACAGGAGACAGGAGTTTTTCTTTGAGCCACTCTGGCTTTTGAATTTAAAAATAATTCTCCCTTTATTTACTGGAAGAACAACTTCCCTGTGTTGGTCTGGGGGCAGGTTTTCCATTTAAGTGTGCAAGTTCAGGCCAGGTGTGGGCTCCAGCGATGGCCGTTCCACAGTGGATCATGCCTCCTGGTTCCCTCTGGACTCACGGAGTCTGGAGCGCTCTGTGGCCAGGCTGTTTGCCACCTTTCCTGGCCCTGACTGACGCCAGAGGAGGGGTGTGGGGGGGGGGGAGACTGGCGCCTCACTGCCAATTAACATCCTCTCACACTGAGAGCATGGCCAGGTAACACATGATAGGCCACAGTCGTTCGAGCAAAGAGCCTGGCAGACATTCAGGTGAGGTGAGACTTATTTAGTTATCCCTGCACTGGACATCTGTCTGCGATATTACCTGAGGCAAGGGTGAAAGTCGAAGGAAGTGTTATCTTAGCACAAAGACAAGAAATGAGGTAGATAGCTAGCTCAGCTCTGTCCAAAGGGCCCACCAACATCTGTAAAGCTCAATGACTCAACACACAGTCAATTTGTGTTATCAATAAGTGAAAATGTTGACAGGACTACAGGGCATATACAGGACTGTCTCAGAAAATTAGAATATTGTGATAAAGTTCTTTATTTTCTGTAATGCAATTAAAAAAAACAAAAATGTCATACATTCTGGATTCATTACAAATCAACTGAAATATTGCAAGCCTTTTATTATTTTAATATTGCTGATTATGGCATACAGCTTAAGAAAACTCAAATATCCTATCTCTAAATATTAGAATATCATGAAAAAGTATACTAGTAGGGTGTTCAACGAATCACTTGAATCGTCTAATTAACTCGAAACACCTGCAAGGGTTTCCTGAGCCTTGAAAAACACTCAGCTTGGTTCTGTAAACTAAATCACAAGTATGGGGAAGACTGCTGATCTGACTGCTGTCCAGAGGACCGTCATTGACACCCTCCATCAGGAGGGTAAGACACAAAAAGAAATTTCTCAAAGAGCAAGCTGTTCACAGAGTGCAGTTTCAAAGCACATCCACAAAAAGTCTGTTGGAAGGGGGAAATGTGGCAGGAAACGCTGCACAACCAAGAGAGATGACCGCAGCCTTAACAGCATTGTGAAGAAGAGTCGCTTCCAGAATT